AACTTAAATGATGTTGGTTCGTCTTTGTGAATGAGGTAAGAGGGTTTGTTTTGCTTATATTTGGAACCTTGCTTTCGAAATAAAAATTGTATTATTTAAAAGCATTTAAAAGGTTCATAGACACAACGAAGGAATTTCTTTGAAACTGACTATAGTGTTATAACTATACTTTAGTATAGTATAGTCAGTATATAGTTCTTTTTATTGTATGTTGCTTATTGCCTTAATTTCAGTGATTTTATTTCAGTATTAAGCATCAATGGCTATTCCAAAAATGTTTATCAATAATCAAACGGAGCCGCACTCGCAATATTGGCACTTTAAGTTTTAAATATTTAATCAYATACTATTTTTCCATACAAAAACAAGTATTCTATAGTATAATACTTCTAAATTAAAAATAAAATTCAAAAAATAAATTAAAATAATTAATATTAAAGTAATCAAGATGTTTCATAAATATAATAAAAATATATGTATATATACAAAAGTACAAAAATATTATTGTAATATTTATCACTAAGAAGAATAAATTAAGCTATAAAAAAATTATCTCTTAGTGAAGTATATAGAGAATAACTAAGTATTTATGTAAAAACAGTAAAAACATGAGACACTGCTTGATTTGCTTCTTGGAAATATCTACGTGTACATCGTCCATACCAGCTGCTATGAGATTTTAGGTGTATTTCAAAGACTRTTTAGGTGTAGACTATTGGTAGGTACTATTTTGATGTATGACGAATTCTTTTGAAGTTCTTTAAATACCAAATCAATCGAAATGAACTATTTACTACTAAAAAGTGGGTTTTTCAAAGGCATGTTCCGTGATAAGGAAACCATATCGAGTTTTGCAGTATTGTTAGCGATTCCGTACTAGGCCTCGTAAATCCTAAAGGACGGCCATGTCACATGTATATGTACTATATATTATTTTATCGTACACAATAATAATATACATATATTGATATACGCGTCCAAGGACGAAGCGCGCGTGTGATATACTTGCGATGTAGTCGCGGTGTACTATTTATATGTACGCGTATATACATAGGTAGTAGTGTGCATATGCCATATACACATCATTATGAATGTCGTGCGATAGTAGTTGAATCACCAAGTGCGGTGCAAAACCAATTGCCCGCAGATATCACGTGTTCGGTTTATACATAATATTATAAATTTATAAAACAATATAATATACAGGTAAACCGTAACCATAATAAAACTCTGTCACAGAAGTGCCACACATCAAGTCATCGTCATAATATACCTATACGATAGGACATACGTCGCACGTACAATAATCTACAATATTATTCTGCGCGCGCCAAAACGAGAGCACGCATCGGATTCATTGTTCGTCGTAGTATTTTTAAATTTAACATTTGGTCGCGTGGTGGTCAAAAAGAAGACGGCAGATGTTTCGTCGACCGCCCGGTGGTGATAACGTGTGTGTAAGTACTCGTCGCATACATTGCGTTTTTATATTATAGTAATCGCAAATCGCAATAATATTATTATTACATTATATTATGTTACATATTTTATATAATAGAAGTGTACCAAAATCGTCGTCGTACATACCGAATGTTGCTGCTGTTYTACGGCGGCGGTTGATCGCGTATTCACTGGAAATAAAATATATTTAGGTTTCCATAAAGTCTACATTGTAGGTATAGWCGTATAGTATTCGGTGTGGGCCGATATAATAATATTATGGAAAAACTACAACTCATTCGCTCTTCTAACTAAAACCAATTCCTCTGCTGCAATTCAGTAGGTATCTATATTAAGAGGTCGCCGAACGGACTTTTGTTTTATCCGTCTTACAAACGTAAGACTAGACAAATTTTACGTTCAAAATTACTACGTTTATATGATGGAATTGGCGTTAAAATGGTTTTAAATTCTTAAACTACATAGTGCGAGCGTTTTAACGTCATCATACAAACATAGTATAAGAATTTCAAACCGTTTTAATGCTATCATATAAACATAGTAATACATTTTAGTATTTTACTCTGTAGTTTTTAAAACTAGATATTGAATTTATCTCTTATGTAAAATTTAAAGGCTAGAATATTATCTGGGGCATCTCAGAGGATTTTATTGGTATTATAATTTTTAAATAAGTTATGAATGTTATGATGGTTTTAACATTTACAAAAAAAAAAAAATTGTTTAAAAATGATTTCAATAACCAACTTGAAAGTTATGTCAATAAAATCCTCCGATATGCCCTAATTTTCTTGATTCAAAATTTTATTAGAGGTAAATTCAACATCTAGTTTTAAAAATTACCGAGTAAAACGTATATTTGTTGCAGTGAACGTAAAACATTGTGTGTGTTGTAMGTTTGTAAGACGAAGAAAACAAATGCCCGTATGGCGACGTCCTCCGATCGTAGACACRCGGTCTGTCGGACAATGTTATTGCCCACAAACTGGACACGACGGCCACGGTGAAAAACGGCTTAAACATAAAAACCGCAATCGGTGTATCATCATCGATCAGAAAAATGTCTGCCGAGCAGCAGTCTTGTTTCCGGTGGTAACGTAACAGAAAAAACAAGGTTTTAACACACACACGCGTTATTGCCTCTGCTGCAGAGATCCCGTTACCACAGCATAAACCTATTTCATATAATATGATATTAATAATTATTATGTCATTCGTAACCGTGTTCTATATATTCTATATCTGTATTCAATATAATATATTATGATGTTCCAGTAATATGTTCCAGGTCGCAATCCTCAATTTACCGGTATATAATAATGATAATAATATTAACAACAATAATATCGTTTTTATCTACTAGGTAGGTACTTACTACTAAAGTACACTACTACTACCCTATCCAGGAATGGCGTCCATATTGTTGTTCAATACATACCGAATAAATTTTTWATATTGTTTGTGATGACATTGTACAGGCACACGCGACGTTTTTCGTCGGCAACAAGGATGGAGTTATTACCTACTTGCTGTGAAGAAGCGTTTCGCCTGTTGGTCGTCGACTTGTGCAACTATTGTATAATTGTAATCTGACTAATATTGCACATGTCCCGGCCAATTGGAGGATTTCGTGAAAATCGACGACTGCTGCTGCTTAATGCCCTCCCGAAATCGCCGAGGCCAGCCAATGTGTTTGTCGAAGACGAAAAACAAAGAATGTAGCAAATTAGGTTGTGTTGTTTGCAATATGTATTATACATTACCGTGTGCGGTCCGTACACGATCTCATATTGCACTTGACCCAGCCTGCAATGCACATTTAATAACGACGACGAACGACGGGACGACTGCTCGCAGACATAACGGCGATGTGGCGACGAATTTAATTTTATACACGGATATTGTGACGTTTAGAAAAAATGTCACATCATCGTCGCAATATTACCTATCACCCCTCCCTCCTGTGCGAAATTCAGTATATATTAAAATAGTACCTAATTTTGTACAAATAATTTACAATAGATTACTATTTACTTTACATTTGRGGTCGACGCACTGTGATGTAGCTTTTTTTGTTATGTATTAGAGTTATTTTAGAGGATATGCAGTATTTATGATGTATTGCATAATAATGCACACATACACATCACATAATAATACTATACAAATATTTAGTTAACACTTAGATTTACACAATTACAGAATATACGTAATTTATTAGTTTCTCTGTRAGCCCAATGGCCGATGTTGTCGAATGCCGAGGGTATAAGTAAAAGAAAAAGAAATAATAATGATTTAATATGTGTGTAAACATAAACAAGTTTGCGGTAAGGATATGATAATATAATATGATACTTTTGGAAAGATAAATACATTTTTATAATCATTGGAAAGAATAATATTCAAACGGTATCTGTTTTTTCGTTTTTCTTTTTTTTCCCCCTAATGCTATGTACTACTTATTTGTACTACTGCTCTTACATCAGTTACATGACATAAGTGTTGTTTTTGTATCTGAAATGTCTTTATATATATTTAATATCTATAATTATGCATAATAATCTATAAAAATTTCAGTCAGCTGCTGAAATAATTATTAAAAAAATTTAATAAATAATATAGTTCTTATTCTTTAGCATTTAATTACATATTAAGATATTTTACCAAATGTAAAGTTCAAAATGTTTCTGTGTTGTAATATGTAATTTTAAGATATCGTAAATCATGTATTACAATTATCATTCCTAACCATATGAATTTGTACAACCTTTAAAATATAGTAAATCCTTTGAAATGCTATTTTTTTTACATTTATCATATTTAAAATATATCAGCATAGTTCTCTGACAATTTTGGTTACAATATTATCATTTAATAACAATGGAATGCGCTATTTAAACAATTTTTCATGAAAACTTTTAATATTGTAATGATAATTAAAAACATTTTTGTTGTGAATACATTCATATTTTGAGTGTGAATCGGTAAATTATGCACACAATCATATTAGAATTCAAGTGGTTTATAATTATTAATGTGATTGCTGGTTTACAGAATCAATTGTTCAAACAAATCAACAACAAAATTTGTAGTAGAACAAACTTGTATACCAACCATGAAAATAACAAAAAAATTAAGGAGATATAAATAAATGTTCAATAAATACTAGTAATAATCGTGTATTTCAAATCATTAACTGAAAGTTTGTTCTATTCTTGTTTATAATATCATCAATATATATATAAAATAAAAATAAAATATTAAATACACAAATTCAAATATTTTATTACTGTATAATATTATAAAAATTACTTACATTTTAACTGTATCAAATCTTACAATTGTAAAAAAAGTCATATAAAGTAGTTATTGGAACTGCACAAAACTTCATTATATCAATAATGTAGCTAAACAGCATGAGAAACAAAATTGTAACACATAAAATACATGAAAATAATAAATAAATTTTTTTTTTCTTTGTCAAATTGTACATTACAGCAAATAAATTATGTAATTTTTGTTTTTTATTCTAACAGTACAAGTCAATATATTTATATGCACCTATTATTATCTAGAATACATTTAATAATACATTAATACATACTAATTAAAACAACTATTACAGTAAGACCATATAAATAACTAAATATTTACAAGTGAATACAAAAGTACTTACAGAATTGATTTTAAATAATTGCCGACTAATCCAGAATTCAAACGGGTCACTTATGATAATATACCTGTTGAAAAAAATAAATTTAGATTATAATTATGTATTGTAGAAGTATACTAATCGATACAAGTTTGTATAAGCAACATATAATACCACATCTTAACTAATAAACACTCTTTCTATTCAGACATTAAAAAAAAATCTAATTAATTCGAGCTATTAATAATATTTTTCATTCCAAAATGCAATATTAYCAATAGAATCAGCAAGATTTTATTTTCAATGTAAATATTTCTGATCACTAATCAAGTAGAAGTGACACACAATAAAATTATCTTATTTGTAATTAAAGTTTATTAATTAAATTCATTTATAACCAATGAAAACTGAAGTAAAGAGACCTGAAATATATTCCCACAAATTCAAGGTAAAATTACTATGAATGTTTTTAATAAAAAATGTATACTCAGTCTCATACAAGAGTGATCTCAAATAGTGACTATACATATATTGCCCAGTGCAGTTAAACACACAGCTTGTATAATGAATTGTAATTTTCMGCATTTGTCTCCAACTTTAGATTGTTAATATAGGAAATTCTCAAGTTCAAAGGGTTGTTTGAAGAAGAAATACATTCTACAACATGCATCAACCACTATTGTATGAAGAAGCACACTCATATACCATGAGACATAAAAATAAACTTATTAATTTCCAAACACAAAAGAATAGTGTTAAATATAATAAGTAAAATTATACTATAGGCATGCAACTTTTAATCATAGAAAATGTAAGTTTCTTTAATCAATTAACATAAAAATAAAGAAAATTGGTTTAGGCACCAATAATAAAATTTAGTCTAAATATATTCAAAACACCAATTTCACAAATATTAGTAAAACTATTTAATAAAAATGACAAGAAATAAAAAATAATAATAATAATAGGAAATAATATAAATATATATACATATTAAATGACAAAATAGTTGATTTTTTTATGTGATTATATAAATAATAAATAGATGATTCTAATGGTTTTAGATTAATATTGATATTTCAAACAATATTTTTTTAAAGATCAAACACTAAGAAAGATTTTAAATATAAAAAAATTCAATAGTTTATACAATGAGTTTAATATTAAAARGTTGGTAACAACTAAAAGATTTATTTGTATTTCAGAAGTAATGAAACAACTAAATATAACTCACATTATAAGGATTTGTAATTCTGGAAATGCATATTTTATGTGGCCATTGGAGGTGCGGGTGATGCAGGAGCAACATGTTCTGGGTTAGGGACTGGGGGAGGAACACCAGCAGCTTGTAGTCTATGATGAGCCTGTTGGCGGGCTCTGAATTCGGCAGCTTTTAGTTGCTCTAAGTGAAATTGTTGTCGCTCTTGTATCAACTGTTGTCTCTGATATTCTAACCCTTCACGTTCCCTTTCCATAGTTGTTTCTAGTTCCTCAAAGTGTCTTAGCTTTATCTCTAGTTTTTTCATTTGAGTCTCTACTAATAATGCAACAAGAGATTTTATTTTTCGTTCCTCTACAGCTGCTAAATGTTTTGCCTTGACGGCAGCCGCGGCTAAAGCTGCAGCAGCAGCAGCTTGTACTTCAGAGTCCTAATAATTTTACGAAACAAATATTTGTAATTCAAATAAAACAAAATATAGCAATTTAACTTACCTTAACTATTCGTTCAGGTTCTTCTTCCGCAGTACGATTAACAGTAGTGGACTGTGTACTAGCTGTAGTTTCTTCGCATGGTTTTTTGTCAACATCCATAGGTTGCTCTTTATCTTTATCAGAGACTACTTCTTTATCAGTTCGAATAGATTTGTCATTATCTGTTGTCAATGATGGATCTTTGACATCTTCTGGTTCCTTCTTTTCTTTTTCGTTTTCTTCTTCTTTTTCTGGGAAAGTGCCTGCAATACCACTCTAAACGAAAACAGAAATATTACATACATATTTTGATATAATTAAATTTATTCATTACCTGTAAAAGTCCAACAGCTGGATCATATTTTCCATCAGTAGTGGCTGCTTCGATGTTTTTAACATGAGCATCCATCAATGCTGAAGGTACTTCATCCTGGAACAAATATATTTTAAAATTTTTTATTCAATAATAAAGCAGTACAATTATATTAACTCACTCGAATAGCAGCAAATTCTTCCATAGCAGCTTTAGCTGCTGCAGCAGCAACTCTAGGATCTACTACAGAGGCTAAAAAGGCAACAGTAGACATAATAGGATTACCAGATTTACTAAATGGAATTGGTTGATAAGACAAAGGACCCAAAGCACCACCTAATAAAAAAATATTTAATTAATACCTTACAGATTTAAATTAATTGTTTATGTYTAGTTTTATATTATAAACATAGATATTTAATAATATTATTTCAAGTATAATCATACCAGTTTCAAAATCTTCTAAGTACGGATCTTCTATGGGTAAACGAAGAAAGTGCAGTATACATTCATCTTGAGTTCTTGTGCCAACATGTTCACAAACTTTGTTCCAATCATCCTTATACATTTCTAATCCTTCAAGTAATAATAAAGTTTCTTGTTCAGTCCAATCTCTTGTCATTCCAGCAGCTGTTTTATTTCTTAATAAACCAGGTTTTTTGGCATATCTTAAAAATATATACATATTATATTGATAAACTATAAATATTTCATATACTAAACTAGTTAATACAAATAAATTTGTCATGGACTTGAGAATACTTACTGATCTAATTTAAGTCCAAAACCAGATAATGGTTCTGGATGATGACCTGCATCTTTATCTGCTATTACAGGCTTTTTCTCTAAATCTAAAAGTGTTTTAGCAGCTGAAGGTTGTTGAGTTCTAGGAGGATTAACAGGTTGTAGACCAGATGGAGTATCAGATAGAATATGAAAATGAGATGTTGGTGGTGGACCCATTGCAGTTGGTCTACTATCGGCATCAACCTTAATTATTGATCATAGTAAATATAATACTAAGAAAAAAAATGGTACTTTTTAATATTTAAATTAGATAAACACATACTTGATAGTTAATTAGACCCCATTGTTCCAAAAAAGCATGAACTCTCATAATTGCACAAACATCACCAGCTAAATTACGTCTAGCTGCGGTACTCGTCATGTATTCAGTTGGATTAAGTCTATATGTATCAATCATGAAATTTCGATACGCTAAGTATATTTCAGGGGTTTTCGATTTATTCTTGTCTGAAGCAATAGATAATTTGTAATGTTATTAGTGACTTATATAAGTAATATAAATTTGATACTTACTATTGAAAAACTCTGGTAATGCTCGTTTCTCAACTGTATGAATTGAATTATAATCAAACCATGCAGCATAACTTGGTATAACAATATGATGCATTTGTTCAGTAGCATTATCTTCTGGTCCTTCTTCTTTTATAATTGATAAAGGCCCTCCTGTACTAGATACTCCAGAAGCAGGACAACTTGTACCATCTTGAGTATTACTATCAAAGTTTTTATTATCTTCACTTTTATCTAGATCTTCATCTAAATCCATAAGAGTACCACTTCTAATTGGCTGAGAATCACTATCCTTCTTTGATGAAGATGATCCTTTGTAAAAAAATAAAAAATGTTTAATAGGCAATTTGAAACTAAACATTATAAGAAATTACCAGTTTTTATTTGAGATATATTTAAATTAACTTCAGAAATATTGGGTTCTGAAATTGGATCTTCAAGATCTCTTGTTAGATCATCACTGTCATCGTCAACTTTATTTTTCTTAACACTCATCACAGAACCTCCACGCCCACTAYATGATTAATGAATTAAATTAAATTAAATTTTATAAATTACATTATTAAATKACCTTATTACCTTTTACGTTTATTTGGTTTTGAGGGCGGTGATGGAGTTCGTTTCCTTTTAGGTTTTTTCTTACCTCCAGATGGATCATTACTCATGAAATCTTCAACTGAGAGACGCAACTAGTAAAATAATACAATAATAACAATATAAAAATAAGGTTCATATTTCATATTTTAACAAATTTACTTTATGAACTTTTTTTTTGCCAGTTTCATCAACTTCATAATCTTCTTCATTCATCCATTCATTATAAGTATCTAAATCTAAGACCCAAGATGCTGTGACCTAAAATAATATAAATGTTATCTAAATGCATCTTGAAAATTTGAAAGAAAAAAATAGCAATAAATATAATGTAAARAAATGATATTAAGACATTTAAAACATTTAAAACATATTTATAGTATAGGTTGGGGCAATCTACAATATCTAATCTACAATATCTTAATGTCCTATCACAGAGCAAATGACAAATCAGTACCAATTCAAAATATATTAATTAATAAAAATAATGAACTAAAATTCTAAGTTATTAATTTACCCTCCAAGGAGTTGGTGGTTGACTGCCATATAACACTTCAGGAGGTTCAACTGGTAATTCAGTAGTTACCCATGAATCATGAGAATCAGGAAAATAATACCAGTGCATTTGTATCCAGCGTTCTTTATTTTTGTACACGGGTCGAGCATATTCTTCATCCAATGGATCCACAACCGGAAATAAGATATGGGTAGCTTCTTGTTCGTTTTCTAAAAAAATTGAAAGAATAATATATAGAATGTAAAACAATCAATCAGCTTTGTAAATATACCAGTGAGTGTTCCTTGATGCCTTTTTATGATATCTTTTATGCGGTTTTGTACTATTTTATCAACATCTGGATGAATAAGTATAACTGGCATAGAAAGACATTTAGCCTGAATTAAGGCCTTTTCGACGTTCATAAACATTTCAATACTTCTGTCCATTCTAGAAGGACTCTGTGAATAAACCAAAACAACTTTTATGATCAAGTTAAAATTAATTTACTTTTAAAATTTAAAGATATACTTATTTAACACATCAATTTATATGAAGGATACTAAAATATTTGAGTAAGGTTGCAACTAATCGAATCTAAGTTATGTGATTTAATTGAAAAAAAAATTACCAGCGTCTCCAATATATAAAAAATGTTTATGAGAATGTGAATTTCATTTCAGTATACTTCATATAAGTTTTATATATTTATTTAGTTTTAAGTATACAGTAAAGACAAAATAATAGACATGTACAGTACTTTAAGATATTTTGTAATATCAGCAGTGTTTATTGATAAAATAGTAATGTTGATCATAAGTTAAAGATAATTTTAAATGCTGATAAAGTTTTAGACGTGATAGTTTTTAAATAAATAATAAGACTTCAATGTCTTAAGAATTTAAGTTCTGTACATTATTATTTTTAGTTTAAAATATCTATAAGTGTTTTCCCTAATATGTTTAATAACTGAATTAGTATAAGAATATAGAAGAAAAATATTAGTTCACATGAACAAGCACACAAATGTTGTTAAAACTATTTCTATAAACACCAAAATATTTATAATTTTAAACATATAAAGCAGTTCTTAGTCCCAATTTAACTTAAAATACACTTATGAATTTTCATAAATTTATTATTTACTTGTAGGTAGTATATGGTAAAAATCTATTTTTATTTATAAAACTACTATTTTATACTTTACATAGATTTTGTGATATTTGATAACAGCATTTTTTTAGAATTTTTACTATATTAAAATAATATATAATGATGAAAAAAATATCACAGTCTGGTATTAAAATGGAAATGAAGAAAAAATAACTAAAATGTACAAGTTGATTGCAATTTTTCATAATAATATTGAATGTAGAGATTAAAATATATTTCATTAATTAATGAATTATAAATTTATTTAATTTAATGGCCCACATAAAATACAGGCTTATAATTAGCAAGTGTTACATCACTTACATGCCTTAAAACAGAATCATGCTTAAAAAGGCGTTTGATTTCCAGGCGTATAGCTTAAAATATTTACATAGAATAAACATAAAAATACTTTTGTTGATGATTTTTTTTTCAAATGTTTAATAATATCTATTTAATTAACATAATATTGCATATTTTATGGTTGACCAATTATATCAATAACATCATTGTTACATATAAAAAATGTTTACAATAACATAAGAGAAATTAAAAATCTAATACCTCCGAATATTATTTGATAATAAAGAGAACATCTTACTTATATGTATTGTCTGTCTAAGTATAACAAAACAATTACAGTCAGAAGAATCCAATTTATCTATTTTCGTTTTTAATACCAATGTGAATAGATTTATATAATATGATATATTAAATCTTTTATAAAGGTAAGAAAATAAAAGGTAATATTTTCCTTCAGAAGCAAATTATAAGCATTTTTAATTTAATAATTCTCATAACTTGTTTCAAAATTAAAATATCAAAAGAAAAACACATAATTTTGGATAATACAAGTTAATTTTTTTCTAATATTTAAAACAGGGGAATAAAATCAAATCTTCTGAATGTTAAAATTGTTATGTAACTTATGTTAGGTGTTAGTAAAACAGTACAAATACACACAAATTTGACATCTTCTTGATTTAATAAGAATATTTACTATTCTAGGTATGAGGTATATTTGTCTCATATGAGGGAGGCTCGATTAGGGGTCCCAAAGGAAATAGCACTAATGAGTTTCTTATTTTTTTTAAATAGCAATTAATGTTTAATATTGATTATAGCATATTTACTAGGTTTCAATAGTTTGCATATAATACAAGATAATTAGACAGACCCTAGTTAATTGATGAATAATAAAATATTTAAAAAAAATATTAATTTTATGATAATTTCAGTTGTACCTAACTAACTAAATGTAATTGAATTTAGCATTCAAAATAACMYAACTTAGGGGATTTTATTTTGTCTACCCTAAACGTAAACATATACCCAATAAACATAGGACGTATGTACATTAACTGTACATAATTATTGATAAACTACTATATTGTTAATCTACATATACAAAAAATTACTTAAGTAGTTTGTGTTACTTGTATAATCCATTGATGTATATATTGCAAAGGATTAGGACATTATCCTATAGGAACAAGGATAGACAGGTGCAGAAAGTGCGTGCTCGGCATGTAATTAAATTTGTGGTCACCACAGAAAAAGCACACAACACGGGCAACATGAACAAATTTCGTACACATATAATACCAATAATAATAAATTGGAGACGAGCTATAGCAATTGACAGCGTGGGATTATAACAACAGGTCAGGCGTGCACGTCCGATTAGTGGTTAGTGGTGAGGTGAAATGAAGGCTCGTCTCGCCAAATCATACCTTACTGACCTGGAAATCGAATCTTCGCCACCCCTGTTCCACTTTAAACTTGTACACAGTAGCTAACAAATGGCATAGAGCACCTCCAGGTTTGAAGTCCAAAAAACAGCGCATCTACAATAGAATGATGATATAAATCGGTAGATTCAAAAACAATAAAGCATCACAGTTGAGCATATCTATTGAGAAGACCTGAATGCCGTTTTAATTGTCAAACCAACTTACAGGCAAGCGAGTGAGTGGTGGTTTGCTGACATTTTTGCCGAGATTGTCTTCCTGGAATTGAATGAGCTGCAACACCAGGGCTGCAAGTGTCTTGTTGGTCGGTGGATCCGCTTGAAGGTACTGAACAAATATCAAAACAAAACCATCACAACATACACGTATAATAGCAGACACTAAACGACCACAGATACGCCCGAATACAAATGATCCGATGTCGATAAACGGAAGTGTACTTACCTTTTTATGATTTTTCATTAGCCACGTCCTAACGCCCTCCAACATGTTCAGCGTTTCAGGAGATTCGAAAAACTTCACGTTCGGACTGCCGTCCTTTTTTGGACCCAAGGCCAACATCGTAGCGTTGATTATCTGACGATCGGACAACAAATTAGGGCCGGTCTGTCGAAAAACTCAAAAACGAGCTTTCGGCAAAACTTCGGGCGATTATATCTAACACCTCAAGACCCGGTGAACACGGCAAGCGAGAAACAATAACAAAAAACGTCGATAATAAATATGGCCGATTTGTTTGGATTTTGTGCACAGGGCTGACGGAAAGCCGACCAAAAACTACCAGTCGTGACTATTAGTCATTAGAATTGGGAAATATTATTTTCATATTTTTGTAGTCGTTACTCGTTATCATATTGTTAATTTATATAAAAAAATAATTTATAGTAATTACTACTACTAGACGAATAATGGTTTTCAATTACATCTAGTTTACTAGAGCTATGAAAGCGAGGATTGCTCTGTGGATTGGCAAGACTGTGCCGGTAAAAATACTGTTTTCCCGCGATTTTTGTTTACGTCAGTACTCAGTATTCGGTACGACGGTATTCCGTACACCACCTCATATAATACAGCAATAATATTATTAATATATTTGATTTTTAGTTATGCTTGTCCATTGTCACGTTATCACTTCATCGCGGCGCGCCACTGCGTTTTGTTTTTCGAATATTTTTCCATACATTTTTTTGGATAAGCGAGAAATATCGTACAATCTTATTCCGTCAAAGGCACAAAGTGTTTGACTGTAGTTCAGTCAGTTCGTCGTGGTTGCCTTAATGCAGGCAATCCGAGACCCGAGTTCGACTTTTGTTGTTTGTAAGTCGTTCTCGATCGTCGTGCAGCTGACAGACGACGGATTTTATTCGCGCGTAGTGTAGATCGAACCATCGAACATCTGAGTTTCATATAATAAATCGTCAATCGTTCCACCACACTGTTGTTATTAAAGTATAACAATCGGCTATCACGCGCTATCGTTGCAATTGACCTCTGTTCTCCTCTACCTATTATTTTTTTTTTTTGATCCTTAGTTCAAGTTACGTTCGTACGCCGACCCTTTACGTCGTAACGATACTGCGATGGCCGACATAGATCGGAAACTGAAATCCACGGTCACCGACCTATCCGGTAAGAGTTGGGCCGATCTGTGTGACAGTTCGCAATCGTCGCAGTCACAGACGGACATTGATTCGCCACTTAAGCTCGACGCCGAGGTGAAGGCGAAGAATGGYGATGACGAGGACGAGCTGTACGATTTGGTTTTCAAGCCAGTCAAAAAAGAGTTAGTCAAAACCCAGGATGACCTCAGTTTGTCAGCTTTCATGAACAATGTACACATGGTAACGCCGATTAAACAGGAATTAGATGATAAGCCACAGACGTTCGATGAAGACACAATTTGTAGCCCATTTGTAAAGCAAGAGCAAATTGATACACTAGACATCAAACCCAAAGAGCCGGTTTGTAAAGAAGAAAATCTCAAGAAGGATTTACAGCATGCTAAAAGAAGATTGACTTCAGAGTCCGAGTCAGTGGTTACTGATCCTGTTTCACCTGAGCGAGTCAACAAAGTTAACAAAAAATCAACTGAGCATACAAATATACATGATTCTCTTGCAAGCCCCAAGTAAGCATATATTTTTGTTAAATTAATTTAATGACATAAATCAGCCTTAATATATAAATTATAATTATTAAATGTTTATTTAATCTTGTGGAGTCACTTTTCAATATTAAAAGTGTTTAGTACATTGCAAAGTATCTACCTACCTAATTATTTTTTATATTATTATGCATATAATTTCAATTTTTAAATTTATCTTGAAATGTCTCTTTAATTGAATATTATTTATGTGATTTATATGATATATTATTTTTATAGAGTTAAATTGGAACGTGAAACAGACCCTTTAATTTTATCAAGAAGACAAAAGCAAATAGATTTTGGTAAAAATACTATTGGATACGTCAAGTATCTGGAACAAGTTCCTAAGTATGAAATTTATATTTTTTATAAATWAACTAAACAAAATATAATGATTATATAATTTTCTAGACATAAACGTAAAAAGAGGCATCCTAAAACTCCTCCGAAAAATTTGAAATATACTAGACGAGCCTGGGATGGATTAATTAAAAACTGGAGGGTTAAGTTACATTTATGGGATCCTGATAGGAGACACAATGATGATGATGATGCTCTGACCACGGGTTCAAGTTCAAATTTGTGTTCGTAAGTAAAATAAAAATAAAAATATTTCCATTATATATTTTATATTGCAATGGTTTAACAGAAATGTTGGATAGTTGCCAGATTAATACTTAATGTCTTGAGGGTTGATTATAATTAATAGCATCAGAAATATTTTCATGTATTGTGTAATTGTAGTATCAACCTTGAACCGATTTGGGCCTGAGTGGCATTTCAAAATATCTAGAACTTTTCTGATAAGAGAGTCTTGGTATGCGAAATAATATTGATATTTTATGATTAAAACTTGTTTTTTGTAAAATATAGTTTCATCATTAATAATATAATGTTCTGAACATAATTTTAAATCAATAAAATTAACTAAAGTTGATAYATTCAYAATTATGTCATGAAAATCAACAAATTATGTTATATATATAATACTTAACTAAATAGATAAATTTGTTGAAAGTATTAGTAGGACAATTTTAATTAATTAGGTACTATTATTAGTACTTCTAAAAAAGGATTTTTGGTAAATGTCATTTAATATGTTTTTATAGAAAAATTTGGAACAATTGACAAAAATATTTCTTTAAAAAGCTTATTATTATAACTATTATTTTTTGCTTTAGTTGAAAATAACTAATAAGTCAATGGAACTAAATATTTTTATCTTCTAAGAAAAATATAATATCCACTGCTGTTTATTTATTGAATAGTATTCAAAACAAAATATATTTTAAAAGTAAACCAACTTTGGATTGGCATTGATTTGATTTTGTTTTTAATTTAGACTTGGATCAATGACTAGTTTGGAATCTAGTTCACAGGCTTCAGATTCGAGGGCATCAACCCCACCTCCAAGCTTGTCTGAAGATTCATCACAACATGAACGAGGAARCCAAGATGTTCCAACTCCTAATCAAATGAAGTTTAAAAAATCAAAAGCTGATAAAAATTAATATATCTTTATATTTTTACATTTTACAACCATAACATTTATTGACTATTCATTATAGTATTTTTGGAAATCTGTAGGTGTTTTATATATATTGTATTTAATTCTAAAATATTTATTTCTCTAAAGCTGTGTTAAATTTTTTTTTTCTATTCAGTAAAAACTAAGAATGTATTAAATATGTTTATTAATGGATACGGCTATCTTATTTTGATAACTATATATTTAATAAAAAATATTAGTTACTTAATTTGATTTTATATATGACTATCTATGTTTATGTAAATAATTTTTTTTATACTTTTGTAATAATATTCTTATTGAGTCAGTTTTACAACTATAAGCTATGTGTACCATTTTCATTGATTATAACCTTGTTAAAACAATTGAAGGCTTTCATAACATTATATTTTGTACCAATTTATAACAATTTCGAATTTATAATGTATATTTATTACTTTTATTATTTTATTACTATAGACAGATTAATAATTAAATCTCCAATATACTTAAACTACATCTGTACTGAATGAATTTTTTTTTAAAGTGAATTAGATCTATGACCTATGTCATGAAATATTGAAAACTGTATAATGAATAATGATACTCTAATAATTACCAATCTATTATTAGGAATACAATCAAAATGTTGTATATTATGCATGCTATAGACCAGCGTTTCCCAACCTTTTTCCCTCGCGGCACCCTAATCCCAACCCATATTTAGCCGCGGCACACTCTTCACTGACTTATATAATATGTATACATATTTTTTTTTTATACCAGACTTTCATCATATTAAATATTAATAGCGAATTAGTTGTATATCAGTATAATATTACTAACAATCAGTTTAAAATGGTAAGATAGGAAGAAATATTATTATAATTATCCTAAATATTTAATTCATTGAAATGTAAAAACAAGATACATTACAATCACACTAATCACAGCAGACAACAAACGACTAACTGACTAATATTTTTAATTATTTAATAAGAAATAGTGAACAAAATCCCCGATAAGAGAATCGTTAAAACTATTTTAATCAACTACCGAAATTTTACATAAATGTTTATTAATAACTGAAATTTCGCGGCACACCAATAAGGACCTCGCGGTACACCGGATGGGAAACGCTGCTGTAGACTGTAGAATACGCTCTATGCTCAAACTTTGAAATTTCTATGTTAATTAAGTTTCATATTTAAGTTACATTTTTAAGCTGTATCAGTAAATATAGAACTTGAAATAAATTCTAACATGCCTCGTTACATATTTCAGATAATTTTTTTAAATTACTATGCAATTATGTTGAACCATCAATATTCCATACATGTTAAGAAGAAAACTTAACTGTTAACTATTGAATATAACTGTACATGGTGGGCGTACAGATAATTGACTCAGTGATGGTCCTTTAAACCCAAATTGACTAAAATAACTAAAATATAGGTAAAATCAGTACATGAGATTAATTTCTTAATAAATAAAAATAATAATAACAACATTCAAATTATATTTCAAATAAGTTTCTTATAAGTCTTATATTTAATTAAATATTTCAGTCTGTGTATATAATAAAAATAACAACCATATCAAAGTAGAAGTACAATTCTAYCTTCAATGTTATTATTTTGTGGATTACAATACAATTCAAAAAAACATAATATTATAACAAAATATTCTTATCATGTAGAGCACTTAACAACAAGTCAAACTTTTTATTCAACGTATCAACATTATTCTCAATTGTATTCATTTGAACAGCCATACTTTGAAGTTTGTCTTCTACTTTTTTTTCAAATTGTTTGAAAATAATCGACATGAATTGATTACCCTCAGCTCCAGTGTTCGGAAGTTTGGACTTTTCGACGTTATTAAACATTGACATTAAAATATCATTTTTAATTGATTTTGATTGTTCAAGACTTAATGAAGAAAATAATTTTAAAGCATTTAAGTCTAATGGTTTTGATTCCAATAAATTTTCAACGTTATGCATATTTATAGGGCCCAAGAATTTGTAAGGATGCTCTTTTATCTCAGTTAAATAAATAATTATACCAAAAATCCAAACAAAATCTGAATTATTATAATGTTTCAATTTTAAAGCACAATCTGTACTATCAACAAGTAACGAATGAGAGTACATTTGAAATCCATCAACATCATCATGACATATAGAATGATGTATAGAAACATATTCTCCTGCCTTCCCAAAGAGTTCTATGAATCTGGCCTGAAAAAAAAAAWTTTTATCTAAAACATATCTAAAATTTAAAATGATGCAATAATACCTCGGAACACACAACTATTGTATCAATTTTATACATAGGATCACAATTGATATTTATGAATAAATCGTTTAGATGTTCAGGTTTTTCAAAATTCACACCCTTGCAATCAAACTCTGTTAACAATTGCATTACATCACTGCAACAATGATTATAATAATAAATAATAATTATAAAATTATAAAATGAGCTCTATTACAGTTTGTCGGCTTCGAATTCAGATTGCTTTGGACAAGCCACAACACAGTCTTTGATGTCCATTCCACAGACGTTTGACTGCCAGTTACACTTGACTTTTACAGTGTTTGCATRATGCGTAGTACAATTTACAGATTCGTTTGTCATCTCAATACCCAAATCAAAAATGTCAACTAGACTATAAAAACTAAAAATTTGTCTTTTATTTTTGTACTGTTTAATGTTAATACTGTATTACTGACTACTGTTTTATTAGTGAATAGAACATACTGTTTACTTACAGAATGTTAGTTATTACCAAATAGTAAATTATATTATTTTGTATTGCCTAGTTCATAAACCTTTGAATTATAATTAAGTTTATAGTTCGAACTTATCTTCGTGAATCGTGATTAGGAAAAATAATTAATATTTTAAAATTCTATTATTTGATACTTAATACTAAATAGTAAATTAGTAAATAATAGAATCACAAATTATTTGTTTATTTATGTCATAATAATATTATGTCCATGACGGCATGACTCTAAATAGTAAATATAAATACTATAAATTTATAGTATATTTAATATTAGTATTTGATGACTCCATAAATCATAATCCATATTGTTGTCATGCTGGGCTCCTGATTTATAATTTTGATAATTGAATTTTCAATGATGAAGCTTACAATTCATTTTTTTCTCCATGACATACTTTTATCTCCCTTCAAAACAAAATTGTAGAAGTTTAGAGTTCAAACATTTAAAATTGTCAATAGGTAACGTATTTGATCTTACCCAAAAAGTGCGGGATTTTACTCTATTTTAATGGATCTATCATGATGATGTGGAATTCTTCTCAACATTGTAAACAGTTTCATGGACATATAGCCCTATGGTACAGCAGCAGCTGCTGCTGCAAGTGCTGCTCTTAAAGGTTATTGACATTTTGAAGTTTGGTAACACTTGGTTTTATGCTTATCAGTAGTGACGTCACGAAGTTTTACTCATTTATTGAAATTTGACTTTTAGCATATGACAAGGTTACAAAAATCTTAATTCACCTTCAGTTATTCGTTAGCAGACTTCAATATTTCCAAATTTCCGGTTTTTATACGAAAAGCGATGGCCAAGTACAAGGTAGTGATGGTCAGACATGGCGAAAGTGAATGGAACCAAAAGAACTTGTTCTGTGGATGGTATGATGCTTCATTGAGCCCTAAAGGTTTGTAATTTCATATTTTTCATAGACTATTGTGCATATAATATGTGTTTTATATTATTTAAAAAGTCAGTTCTTCAAACGTTTTAAAATTAAATTTTTATCATTATGTCAGAGTTTTATTTCAAGTAGTATTGTCAATTTTGTGTATTCTATTGATTTCGATTTAATAAGTGCATGTACAATTCATTTTTGTTGAATAGGCGAAGAGGAAGCAGCAAACGCTGGTAAAGCATTGAAACRAGGTAATTACAAATTTGACCTGGCCCACACATCTGTGTTGAAGAGGGCACAAAACACTCTTGGTTCAATATTGAAAGAACTTGGCCAAGAAGACATTCCAATATCAAAAACCTGGCGTTTGAATGAAAGACACTATGGTGGCCTTACTGGGCTGAACAAATCTGAAACTGCAGCCAAATACGGCGAAGAACAGGTAATAATCACATGMATTTCAATTGTTTGTTAATTTGATATTATATTCATTATTTCTAAATTTAATAAGCATATCTAATTCTATTATTAATCATTTAATATTATATTTTCAGGTTCAAATATGGAGACGTAGTTTTGAYACTCCTCCACCTGCCATGGATACAGATCATGCATACTATGACCAAATCGTAAATGACCCTCGCTATAAAGATGAACCTTCAAAGGAGGAGTTTCCTATGTTTGAATCATTGAAATTGACAATTCAAAGGACATTGCCCTATTGGAATGATGTTATTATTCCTCAATTGAAAGAAGGAAAACAAATATTGATAGCTGCTCATGGAAACAGTCTTAGAGGAATAGTTAAACATTTAGACAGTAAGTTTTCTCTTCAATATTTGTCTTGGTTTTATATTATGTATTTATGTGCAATCAATATTAATAATGGGATTATAGTTAAAAATTATAATAGAAAAATAAAAATATGTTATTAATATTATACTCTATATTTTYCAGATTTAACTGAAGACCAAATCATGAGTCTTAACTTACCAACTGGTATACCATTTGAATATGAATTAGATGAGAACTTTAAACCTGTAGTTTCAATGAAGTTTTTGGGTGATGAGGAGACTGTCAAAAAAGCAATCGAAGCTGTTGCTGCCCAAGGCAAAGCAAAATAATTATTGAAAAACAATAAACTGAAACCAACTAAAATATAATTTAAATACTTATTAGTAACATAACATTTATTTAAATGTCTTTTTCACGTCTTATGCTGTTAAATTATTTATACAAATATTAGGTAAATACAAAAACTTTTTAAATGCTACTTAGTGATAGTATACATGTTGTTTACATTGTGAAAATGTTGAAGTATCATAAATTAAAATTTAGTGAGTCTTAAATGTAATATGATTACCTAAAGGTATTTATCTGTTATTTGGAATTTAAGTGTCATATTGATACCTATTTATCCTATTACATAGTGTAATTATTCCTCTCTACCTCCAATATCTTTATTAGTCAATAACCTATCATTTTTAAATTGCAATAATTAAATAAACCTGTATTACCCATAGTGTGGAACTTGTTAACTTTATAGTTTATGGCGTATTAATGTATTTTGATATCATTAATTGAACTTTTAACAGTAAGCTTTTGTAAACATAATGGAAATATATTCCAACAATTTAATATGGGCTTCAATTATGAGCAATGTTGGATTTTCTTTTTTTAATGTTGAAGATAATTTTTTAGGCGTGTTTAAGGAGACTCATGGTTCTATGGGTAACTCCTTAGTGCGTCCCGTTTATCATATCGTACCTTTTTAATAGCCCATGTGCGTCCGCGATAATATCACAAATAATATTGGTATATCCCTGGTGCGTCCGCGATATTATTGCTAACAATATTTATCTTTATGGATAAAATGCATTGATAACTTATTATATTACACTGTATTAGTTTGCATTTACACTATATTCAATACGTAAAAAMTTACTATTCGTAACGAGTCTTTGACAACCACGTGCAGTATGTTTAGTGATGTGTATGTAATACATATATTCCTTCTTAGAAATATTAAAAAAAAATTTTAATACAAACTTCTAATCAAATACCTAAAAAAAAAAATCAGTCAACGAAAAAAATATTAAATTCATTGAAGAAAATATACAAAAATACAAAACTTCTAAAATCTCTAGATATGATTATGTGAAAATTATGGCATTAAAAAGTCAACCAAAAAAATAGTTTAAATATTAACCCAGCATTTTAAAATTGTATGTAGGACCAAAAAAATTTAATACTTTTATATRATAATAAACTTTTAATTTTATAATAATAATATAATATATATAATAATTAAATAACCAAATATTTTTGGGGTGTAAGCCAGTTCACCTCCTCGTTGTGAACCCTGGGTAATTCTAAATGAACTGGGACGCATTCGGGATATTTTGTAAAATATGACCTTTTTTTCTTGGGATGCACTCGGTTGATACCTGGACGCACTAGGAACATTAAAAAAGGGTCTTTTCGGTCGACGCTCGGTTCTATAATAGTTGCTACATTAATTTTTTTGGCATGAGTGCATRGTTCTGCTTTATGCCTAATCTTAAGAGGACGTTACACCCGCATGTGTTGTCTCCGTCTTACAAATGTAAAACATTGCGAAAACTATTTTGCACAGGAAAGAACCGCTCAAGCTGTAATCCAAGCTAAGCAACCGAATTTCCAAACTATAAAGAGGAGAATATTTACAGTGCAACGTCGTTTTGTTTTCGATATCAGAACTAAAAAAAAGTTATTCAAGTTTGAAAAACTAAAAAATAATGAATTCTTAGACAATAAAAACTTTTTTCGTATTTATGATAGCGAGAAATTAAAAACAATGTCACACAGTAAATACTTAAATTTTAATATTTTAATATTTAAATTTTAATACTTTAAAGTGTGAAAAATTAGTCGCTTAGCTTGGATTACAGCTTGAGTGGTTCTTTCGCGCGCAAAACAGTTTTCGCAATGTTTTACATATTTTGTAAAACGGATACCCGATACGGGTATCTGTTAGCTTTTTCTATCATTTTAAATAAGGAATCTCTTGCTCCCACGCATTTACCTATTTATTCGTTTAGTATTATCAAACACTATTTAGCCAAAGTTAATTATTAAATTTTTTTCATATTGGATGACCTGAMCCCTAATCATAACGAAACATGTCGTACATTCTGATTGGCTACTAATTTTTATTCGTTATTATTTTTAATTGTCATGTCACCCTAAATTTCAGTTTCCTCATATTAAAAATATTCATTCTCAAAATT